TTCATATGCTGCACAGGAGATTTACAAAATGTTTGAGACAATCAGAGATAGCATCAGTTAATGTTAGGGATGTTAGTAAGCTAGCTGTAGCATTGTATATCCTTTACTTCCAGTAGCACACTTACAGGTTTCTCATACAGAATTAGGCACTGCAGAAGGATCCAAACCTCGCTTCCCTCTCCATTGTGGAGTATATTTTAATTTGAAGAATCTTTTTGATTTAACTAGAATAGCAGGAGCTGTACTACAAAAACCACAAGCTGTGCTAGCTTAAGCTACCACTTTGTACGCACAGCCACTACACACAAAGGACAATACTCAAGTCAACTCTGTGTGAAGAGAAGCCTTCTACACTTCCTCTCTGACCTTGGAAAAAGTATATTTAAGATTCTAACAACAGAGTGGAATCCATTATTTTCCACACCTACTGGCATGTGATGAGAATAGCTCCATTAATATCTACCAAATACTTATAACCGAAAAGCACAAATACTTTCTGACTATTTATAATTTAAAAAAAAAATCAAAGTAAAAAGACAGCTTTACTTTCACAATAAGCAGGTCTCTGTCACCACCTTGAACTGACTTGTTCGCTCTGTACGCCACCTGCCAGAGGCTGACCTTCTAGTTCAAGCAAGATTTCACAGGCTCTGAGAGTGCATTAAACAAAGTCATGTTTACTGTCAAGTAGACTCAGCAGCTTCTGCAGTTGATCAGCACAGAAGAGGCTCATACCAGCAAGCCACTTTGTAAACACACACAAAAAAAAAAAAAACAAAAAAAAACCCCAAACCTTGTGAAATTCTTTCAGTTCACAAAAAAAATTGTTTCAGGTGTGGGCCATCTTTATTTTACCATCCTAACTTACACTCCTACCAAAACATGACCCACATATTGGTCCCCTACCTCATTTGAAACAGGGCTTGTAAATATTAAGCCTTTGTACATCACCACTTCCTTGCCACAACACCACACCAGCCCGCAAAACCAGATACCTTTTAAAAGAAGTGACTGAAGTGTCTCCTCCCTGGACATGTAAACTGAATGAAAAGAGCTCTATCAAGGAGCAGGAGCGAGTCAGATGACTTAGTATATGCAATGATTTATTTCCAAAATAAGTTTCAAAAGGGAACCTTTAACATGTAATGTATTAATCTTTCCATATAAACTGTTATTTCGTATGTCCCGAGCTCATACACGAGGGAATAATTACTATTTTACACCTGAGGTTTTCTGTCCTGCAAGGCACCTTTTTATAAAGACTACGTGCAGGCATCAACCCAATTCCATGCGAGAATATTTGGAACAGCCTTTCAGAGTCTTTCTGTCCTAGGGGGCTGTGAAGAAAAGCTGAACAGCATTGTTAACACAGCAGTTTTATTAGCAGACCAGTTTCGGTTGTTTGTGATTGTTCCCGTGTTGGCAGCTCTCTAACCCTTGCCAGCAGACATCTGATTTCATGACAAATAGTTTGCTGTCAGGATCTGGAGCATGACTTGACTGACCGCTGCCCTTCACGCGTTCCACTTCCTTCTTCAGCACTTCACGGCCAACCCCTGGTGCGGCGGGATCATCCGTTAACAAGAGAGGGGAAGCTACGGTTCGGTGCGTGCGTTTGTCCTTATACACACATCGTACAAACGGTTCTTTTTAAAACAATGGTTTGCGTAATTGCACGGTTTTAAATAGCTCCCGCACGCCTCCCCCCGGGGAGCTGCCTGCGCCCCGGCGCTGGGCCCAGCGACGGCTCCCTGGCGCCCGA